GTAGAACAATATTATATACATTATATAGATGTCAAAGGCACCAGTAGTATGGTATCTTTAGGTGCGTACAGTTTAATAGAGGGTTGATCATATATGCTTTGGTAGTAACTCCTTCCAAACTTTATTTCAAACATGGCAACCATACTGAAATTATATGTTATATTTTTTTTTTTCAGAAACTCCAAGCTTATTTTTGACTGCAAGTCGCTTGGAAAAACACATTTTTGAATGACATGAATAAATGGAGTGTCTCTATTTTCAGGCAAAAATGGCCCTGTTTACAGTTTGCAATGGAATCCAAATTCACAGGAGTTTTGTGCAGTTTATGGTTGTATCTTTGGCTTCTGGTCTGTTTTACACACACACATACACACACACACACATGCACACACACACACACACACAGGCACATGATAACACACACAAACATGAGCAATCATGTATGCATGCATGCACACACACACACAAAAGAGAAAAACATGCACACACAGGAAGGATCCTCTCTGTGTCCCTTTTATGTCATATTGGAAATATACAATTATTTTCAAAACCATTCTTCAGTTTGGTTAACTCCTTGACCAATGTCCAGATATGCCTGCCAAGGCCACCCTGTACAATCTGAAATGTGAGCCCGTCTTTGACTTCGGGACAGGTCCCAGGAATACGGTGGCTTACAACGCACATGGAAACAGTATCCTTTGTCAACCACTTCGATAAAAATATCTGCCAGTGGATTTTTTAAAATAAGTGATTCTAAAAGAAGAAATCGGGGCCTTTTTCAGTTCTTATCTCGTTCTTTGTAATGGTTTGATATCTCACAGAAAAATGCTTATGAAAATCAAAGTTGTGTGTATTTGCAGTATCTCTCATTTATTTTTATTACTCAGTTATTGCAGCTAGTCCTGCAATTTGATAGAATCAATGTGCAATATTACTTTGAAAATCGACAAACTTAAGTCATTTTCTTATTTAAAAAACAAAACAAAACAAAAAACTTGACTCTTTCTCTCAGTCGTTTGTCTGGCCGGCTTTGGTAATCTCCGTGGTAACCTAGAATTCTGGGACACGAAGCAGAAAAAACAAATAAAGCAGACGGAGGCCTCTGACTCTACCGTGTTTGAGTGGTGTCCAGACGGCGTCCATTTTCTCACAGCCACCACTGCCCCTAGGCTTAGGGTGGGCAATGGGTGGGTACTGGATTGGTTCCACAAAACCAGTTATAAGATTGGTTCCACAATTAAAACAAGTATTGGATTGGTTCCACTCAAACACTTAATCTCATACAATGTGCATAATCATGATTATTATTATTTCTTGAAATGGTGCTGTTTGCAAATTTACTTACTAACAACTAATAAAATCTAAAACCATGAGTCTTAGATTAAATACTTAACTAAGAAGAAGGAACAATTATTGCTGAAAGATAATTACAGTTGTAACTGAGCACCTGTACTATGTTATTTCTTAGATACAAGGTGTGGCACTACACGGGCACATTACTTCACCACTACAGTGCCCCCAAGGATTCGGAACTGTGGGAGGCAAAATGGCAGTCAGCACCTCAAGGGCTATACAAAGAACAAGCAGTCACATATAGGGCTGTGGAATCTACTGTGGTGCAGCCAGCAAGTGAGTCTGTTTTGTTTAGTTATTTTGTTGTGTTGTGTTTTGTTTTGTTTTGTTTTGAAGAAGAATAGCTTTGACTTTTTTATGGATGCATACCCACACAAGTTTGGTTGTTCTGATGAATACATGTGTCTTGTTTTGATGACTGCATTTCCTGTGAAGTAGGGTCATTTTAACTTATTGGCCACTTCATCAACAGTTTGTCTGATTATGTTATGTTTAGTACACACATTAAATGTTATGGCCTTAGGGATAAATTTTACTATATTTCAGTAAGACTCATTACTTGTTTGAAAAATAGACATGCCTGTATATATATCATAATTATAGCTAAAGCGGCTGCGTACCGCCCCCCTGGTGCCAGAGGACAGGCTGTCAGTTTTAAGGTCCACGAAGAGGATGAACTGCCGTCCAACGCTAAACAACAGGCTAACCCAGGTAAACAGGTTTTCATACACCTGATCCAGGTTCTTTATTAGCAAAATTCACTACATGCCTGTTAATTGTGTCTGACCTGGTAAGTACAAACATGAGCTTTTTCCACAGAAAAGCGGAATTCTGCTTTTTTTAAAATTCAATTCAGATGGTTCCTGCGATTTGGCAAGGTTTGGTGTTGGATCCCTTGATAAATGTTCAAAGTTTTTGTTTTTTTTTAAAGCTAGGCTCATGTCTGTGGTGTGATTTTTCTTTTAGTCTGGTCTGTCAGTAAACGTGGGTTTTAATGTTTATCAGTCACCATAATGCAATGTCCGTACATATTTCAGAAAACATGTCAAAGGCTGCATTAAAGAATAAGAAAAAAAGGGAAGCCAAAGCAAAAGCGAAAGAAGAACAGGTAACATTCTCCTGTTATAATCAACATTAATACATCTCTCCAGATGAAAGCACTGCTTCATTTTTTAATGTTGTCAATCATTTTTAGATCTGTTGTAAGTAAACATGACACAGACACTGGCCATGGGTTTGTGTGTGTGTGTGTGTGTGTGTGTGTGTGTGTGTGAGAGAGAGAGAGAGAGAGAGAGAGAGAGAAATTTAACATATCTAATGCCATTCATTCCACGCATACTTCATTATTCTCCAGGGAAGTGCAGGTGCTGCCCCCTCCAGGCCTTTCACGGCACCAGCACCTGCTGCTGCGTCCACAGGAGATCCAGAGAAAGATAAAAAGATTAAAAACCTCACAAAGGTAGTTTGGATTTTAAAGCAGCGGTCCCTCGGCTTTATTGTGTAAAAAATCTTGGTTGACATATTGATCCCAGCATTCAATAAGTGCTCCATGAACTTTGTCAAACACGTACAGCAAGAAGTATAATATTTTATAGTTGAATTGAGATAAAGTAAAAGACAAATGTAAGGTTATTTTCTGCGATACAGAAAATGCTAACAGTTATACTGAAATTCAATATTATCAGATGAAATAGAAGACAAGTTTAAGCAGTTTTATTTGATACAGAGAAAGTGCAATATTTTATATAGAAAAAATAATTGGGTGAAGTAATAGATAAATTGATGGATGCAAAGAAAATACAGTGTTGAATTGAAATTGGATATTAATAAATGAAGTAATACAAAATTTAGCGCATTTAAAAATACATTTATAGAAATATATATATATATATATATATATATATATATATATATATATATATTTAATATAAAACTAATATAATTGAAATTTAGAATTTGGAGTAAACTATGTACTTTCCATTTCAGAAATTACAACAGATTGAGAAGCTCAAGGAGGACCAGAAAGCAGGGAAACAGCTAGAAAAGAACCAGGTAACACATATTTTCAACACAGCAATAAACAACAGTCACACCTAAGGAATACATGTAAAGCCATTCTTTAAAGTACTTGTGGCTATGGTAATAACTCACATCTTTTCAATGGGGAAAATTATCAGTCTTCCAAATACATATTTTTGGAATTGGTAAAAATGTATTTTTGTGTAGCATTTTTGGTGCTTGTGCTGTAATGAAAAAAAAACTGCTTTTCAATTGTGTTGCTACCACTCAGTAGGAACGTTCTAATTTCAAGAAGTTATGACTTAATAAGATACAGTATCTGTATAGTTCAGAATCCCCCCCCCCCCCCCTTTTGAATAGGTCCAAGTAATTACCATATTAAATCTTTATTTTCTCATTTTATCTGGTTTTAAAGTGGGGTGTCAGACCTCTGCTTCCTGGCCTTAACACTTCATTTTTTTTTTTTTTTTTTTTGTAAACTTTTGCAAGTGTCAGACATTTCAAAATTGTGTTTTCAGTTGGAAAAGCTGAACAGTGAAACAACATTAAGGAAGGAATTAGAGGATTTACGACTGTCCTGATACCTTACTACGACACTGCAGAACAGGAATAGATTGACATTATCACAGATGAAAAACAAATCGACAAATGTTTTATTTATTTTGCAGTTAGTGCAATAATAAAATCAGGCTCATTTTGCCCTTTTTTTAATATTTCGTTAAGTACAGTTTCCCTGATAGTGAAGTTTAACTGCCTCCTTTCATCCAAGAAGTTGTTTACACTCATCTGGTAATTTGTATTGGTAGTTTGCTATTTCAGTCTTAAATGATCTTTATAAAGTTAAAGTGATAATAACTCTTCGTTTCGGCCAAAAAATGAATTTTCCTGGAGTAAAGAACAATTTTCCTACACTTACCAATGGTTAATGAATCCATTTTTACATTCAAAGTTGGTCCCTGGTTTTTTTCTAAAAAGTTTGGTTTTTTGTTAAAATCTCTTAAGAGATTCTAACAGAGTATAGCCATCAATGGAGGTCACGTGGTCTAAAGACAAGCTCAGATATCAGAATAAAAGCTATAACTGCTGTTTTTGTGGTAAAACCGAATATGTTATATTTCTACGAGTTATTCACAATGTTTTTATTATGAAATATAGATCTCATACGAAGAGTTATTATCCCTTTAAAGTGTCTACAAAAAGTTAGGCATTAAATTTCTGAATAAAATGTGATTGATTTAAATTGAATTCATTTCCACTTTTTTTCTTTTTCATTTCTTTCATGTGGAACATCAATGGAGAACCCCAAACAGTAATTGACAAGGATAAAATAAAAGAAAGCACATCTTTATAACAAGAAGTTTATTTCATAATACTCAGAAATTTTGCTTCTTCATATCTTTAAGCACCCTGCAATAGTTGCCAGTCTAACAAACGTGTAGCTGGTTTAAGTATTCACTTAGTCATCTGTCTGAAACTTGCACATGGTAGCAGTGTGACCTTGAACGTAACTTGTGAAAATTCTGGGAAAACTGTAAACTTTGGTCGGTACAAAGGGACTATGTCAGAAGTGCAGTCCAAGGCAGTCCAGAACAGTTTAAAATTTGTTGTTCAGTAGAAACCATCCTCGGCTAGCTTTCTCCTTGACCTTGACCTTCAGGTTCCTTCTTTTGCTTCTCTATTTCTTGACGCCGTCTGCCAGGGACATAGATGGCACGCTCTGGGCGATCCTTGAAATAATGAAAAATAAAAATGAACAGGGTAAAAATAATACATTCACTTTTATAATTAGTTTCTTTCAATTTTTAAAGATACAAAGTCACTATACATTCAAGAAGATGTTTAGAAAAACTCCTGCCATGAATCCAGTTAACTCCTCTTTTCAAAAAAAAAAAAATACTTATTACAAACAAAAACTAGAACTACTGCTTGAACCTCGTACCTTATAACGTCGTCTCTCCTTTTTCTCGCCTGCTCCCTCCTCCTTTCCCGAGCTGTCGCTTCCTTTACTATTTTCATCACCAATACGCTTGGCAGCCATATCTGTAGCACCTTTGTTACCCTCTCTGGTTTCTGAAGCTTCTGAAGGTTTCTCGTCCTTCTTGGTTTGAGGAACTGGCTTTGATTTATCTTCCTTAGGGCCAGGTTGTGTAGCATCAGATTTTTCCTTTTCTGTCAGCTTCTCATCCTGCAAGATTAGAAAACTTACTTATAATTTAAATTTACTTCTTTTTTTTCACAAGTTTAAAGGTTGTGGATCTTTGTACTTGGGAAAATTTCAGTTAAGCAGTATTTAATTACTTTGTCACAGAGTAATTTTTTATGATGGATTCCTTTCATGAGTATTAAATTTTACTATACTTTTTTGTCGGGTAATGGAAAATTTAACATTTTGACATGACATAGTTAAATTCAGCATGACCACTGCTAATTTCTGAATTACCTTTTTTGTGTCTTTGAAATCTTTCCTTTCGGAGTCTTTCTTGGAACTGCCTGGTCTGAAATGAAGAAAAAAATTGATTACATGTTTTAAAGTATCTAAAAATCTGTCTCAAAATATTTTGACAAATAGTTTGCCCTTATGCCTTCAATGTGATTTTTTTCAATAAAAATGATGGGATAAAGAAAATTCAAGTGTAAGAGGTGTATAATGATCAACCTTTCATTCCTGTTGCCTCTATTTCCACCTTCATTTCGCTTTGCACCTACAGATCTTTGTTGCTCTTTTTCTTTTTGTCTTTCTCTCTCTCTTTCCCTAAGGAAAAAAAAAATAAATGTGCCAATAATTCACAATTTCCAACATAACAAAATGATCTGCTTATGAATACTGTATAAAATAGCAAAATAGCCTCATTTTAAGACAAGCAAAATATATTAGCTGAAACATAGAGCAAACTGACAGCTAAATATATTCACCAAAAAGAAACCTTTCAACAAGTACAAAATAAAAACCTTGTAGAGGAAAACACTTCCTTTCAGAAATGACAATTAAAAATCGCAATTTCAAAATTATAATAACTTGCAACTATAAATGTTACAGTAACATTCCTGCCAGTGTCCAAAAAAACCTAGGTCAAATAAAACCAGATCAAAGAAAACTAGGTCAATATCCACCTGTTTCTTTCCCTGTCCCGCTCCTTCCCACTCTGTGGTCTACTGTTGCTGGTCTCCTTGACAGGAGACTTCTCCTGACCTGGCCTGTCTTCCTTTGTATTCCTCCCATACTTCTCACTGTCTCTGCCTTTGTCTCTGTCTGGGTTCTTAAGCAGCTACATGGAAACAATTTGTTAATTGTTGACCATATAATAAAAGTATCATCAACATCACCATCATTTTATTCTACTACAACAAATACTTCCTTGTGCAACATATAATTGTTATTTTTTACAAAATCCCTTTTAACTCATGACAAAGTTCATTGAAAAATTTAAAATATACCATTTGCATTCTTCTCAGAACCCTTTTCACTGTTCAATACCTACTATAAGATCTAACATAAACCAGTAGTTCATTGAACTAAATGTGTAAAATAATCTAATCCATACTTGTTTTCTTGAAGTTTATTTTCATTTTTTTACCATGATATAAATGACACACAAACATACCTGATAATATGTATTATATACTTAGGTCAAGAAAGCACGAGACTACTAGTAGTCATATCATATTATTTAAATATAGAATATTTCAAAAAGACCAGTTAAAACCAATATGTCTTATGATCATGATTTCCTCAAACAGACAACTAAGAAGCTTGCTGGCAAAATTTTACTGCAAAAAAAATTATAAGAAAATAATAATAATAATAATGAGCAAAAAAAGTAATGGAAACTTTAAATGCTTTTCATGCTGCTCAAAAGCAAAACAATGTTAGTAATTTTATTCCTTGGGATAACACAGTATGTCATTTAGGGCTCCTGGAAAGTTACTAAATACAATTATAATGTCATCTAAAATAAATAAAACTACTAAGATTATTAAGTATCATAACAAATAAAACCTGGGTAAGTGTAAAAAATTTTTTTTTTTTTATGCAACAAACCAACATTACAGTAACATAAAAAATAGTAATAAATTGAAATTAAGGTATCTCTGTATGAAGGTTAATAACAAAACATTGGGTATGATAATTTTTTGTTTTGTTTGGTTAGGAAACTACCTGAGCCTTCAGAAACATCTCAATCTGTAATTTCTGAAGAAAGATATCATGGTCCTCCTAAAAGTTTAATGTTTTGGAGAATAAAATACTGTTCAAATCTCCTCTCTATAAAGCAGATGAAATAACAGACTAGTCTGTTTAAGGCATTTTAATAGAGGGGGGTAGGGACATATAGAAAAAGAGAGAGAGAGAGAGTAGCCAGTCAAACTAGTAAGAATTTCAGGTATTCACTTAGCAATTGAAATTCTGTCATTCTTTAAACATGGTGCAGACGCGCAGCTGCAAACACACACACACAGAAAATAATTTATATACTTATTAAGACACCTTTTCAACTTGTCCGTATAGTGTAATTGGTTTTGTAAATAATAATCATATTCATTTTCTTTGTTTTGAGCACATTTGATTTGTTAAGGTAATTTGTTAGGTAATGCTCATCCCTTTTAAAATGACAGTAACAGTTATACAACCACTCTCAAAATTTAAACACCTTATTTATTCCAAAATTTTGGTTCTTCAGTGGCCATTTTTTTTTTTTTTTTTGGTTACTCATAAATCTTTTACCTCTTATTAACAAGACACTTTTTGGATATAAATAATCAAAACTTTGCATACATTTCTGCAACAAAGAATGACACAATCTGATTTTTTTAAAATTAATTGTCGACACCTTTGCTAAAAAGAGAAAGCTTTCCAACTAAAACTATATTTATGCTGGACCCAAAGTGAGATTTGCATATGATATCCCAGATGACACGAGGAGATCAGATGTAAAATCTCACTTTGGGCCCAACATACCTACAGTTTATTAAATGTTATTTTAATACACCAGCATCTAAATCTGGCAATTACCTTCACATTTGCTGAATCTGACTCTTTCTTTGCAGTTTCTTTTCGTCTTGTGCCATCTCTATCTTCCTTATCCCTGTCTTTCTCCTTTTCTCTTTCCCTCTCCTTCTCCCTTCTTTTTCTTCTTTCTTCTTCTTTCTGTCGCTTTTTTTCTTGTTCTTTCCTCTTCCTCTCTTCTCTCATTCTCTGCAAAATACAAGCTCATATATTAAGGATAGTTTGGATGGATACGTATGAATAAATCGTGAAAAATTTCCAGATCTGCAAAAAATCATTGAACAGTGATTAAAGACACCTAATTAGAATTGCATAAACTAAACAGGCATGCAAAGTTGTTTTAGTAGGAAATTCAAATGATACACAAAAACAGCACTTTCACAGCATGAGACACTCCAAATAAACAAGATCCATTTCAAATTTAACGTGCGCCCAGTAGGTAGAAGTAAACAACTAAAAATTGCATTTACATCCCATAATTGTAACATACCTTGCATGTCACGTGACTGAGATACTAGCACATAAATGAAGTGAGAGTGGAAAGAGGTGTGAGAAAACTGCTCAACCCAGATCAACTGGTTGCAAAGCGCATTCTATGCATTACCTGCAGTGCTGCTCTTCTTTCCTCTTTCTTCCTCTTCAAGTAGTCTAACAATGGTGTGCTGGACTTCACCCCAGCTGAGGCTGAAATAGTGGAGGCAAAAATAAAGTAGACCACATAAGGATTGAAAATCCAAAGGTGGTCTCAGAAAAATTTTAGACTGGACACTCTGTCGGAGAGAGAGAGAGAGAGAGAGAGAGAGAGAGAGAGAGAGAGAGAGAGAGAGAGAGAGACTGTGTGTGTGCACCCACCCACCTTTCTGTTCTCTTTCCTTGGTCTCAATCTCTTCCACTAAGTTCTCTATGGTTTGTGCAGGTGCATCTTCTGGGTTCTCCAAGCTCTCCAGAAACTTTATATAATCTGGATCTAAATTTAATATAAAAATCGTGAAAATTTCTGTAAAATAAATCTTATATGCTTATCCGGGCTGAGATTTTTTTTGGCTCCCAAAAAGTCGAACATCCGCCGATAGTTAGAAAAATCTCGTTACTGTTGTAAGCACCAACACCACCCCAAAAGTTGAAAATCATCCGTTTGTTGGAAAAATCTCAACCTTAGTTTATTCTTTCCTACAGCATTAATCTATGCCTACTTTTCAACTTGGTAAAATAAAATGAATAAATAAATGAATAAATAAATAATAAATGCGCATTTAAAAGATAACAATTGTTCATTTCAGCCAAATAAATTGATTTTCCTGGGGTAAACAACAATTTTCCCATATTTACAAATGGATAATAAATCCATTTCTACATTCAAAGTTACGTGGTCCCTGTTTTTTTTTTGTTTTTTTTTTTCTCCTAAAAAGTTTCTTGTAATAATCTCTTATGTTTATAGTCATCTATGAAGGTCACGTGGTCAAGCTCAGATGTCAGAATAATTGCTATAACTGCTGTTTTTGTGGTAAAACAAAATATGTTATATTTCTTTGAGTTGTTAACAGTGCATTTATTGTGAAATATAGACCTCATACGAAGAGTTGTTATCCCTTTAAATACCTTGTTCTATTGTGCCTTTCTTAGGGTCTGGTTTCTTTGCTTTTTTCTTGGCACATTTTTGATACGGTGCAAATTCCACCACAACTGGGTATTCATTACCTAAGAAATAAACAGTACAGAGACAAATACAGTAGTGTACACTACAGTAGATACAGTACTACGAAATAAATTGCAAATGTCTTTAATCTTCCAAATTGAATGTTACACCTCTTTAAAGAAAATTTGTCATTTTTGTTCATCTTGAACATATACTCTCTGATGTGACCAAAATTTTTTTTTTAATACTAATTCTTTAATACCAATAACAAAAATTTGATGGGGAATAACTTCTCTTTGTAGTGCCTCTTGAAATTCTGCCTCACCTTTGGAATCCAAAAACACATAACCATCAAATTTTTCCCTGAACAAGCAAATGTCCTCAAATTTGGCAAAGTTGATGTAAGCTCTTGACACTGCATTGGACCCCAAACTGGAAAAGTAAACAAAAGTGGACACATGTCAACAAAGGCATAAAGATCAACTCGAAAAAAAGAATAAAAAAATAGAATGCATGGGGTCCCGATTTTTAAAAAAATTTCATGTTGAAAGTTGTAACTTTTTGTGCTATTCTATCCAATATATGTCAGTATCAGAGATTATGTGGATAATAAACTTTAACAGATTCCGGGTATCTTCTTTCAACTGTGTCAGCCCACGCATGCACACACACACACACACACACACACGCACACACACACACACATGAACACACTGCAGTATTCTAATGACTAAAAGGGCAGAAAGTTAGGGTGCATTAAGATATACCACATATCATTACTAGCACTCCCCAAGGAACAGTCTCAACTGCACAAGAAACATACCTACCTCATGTCAGGCCTACAGAAATAGAAGTCCGTATGCTCTGGGACGGGAGCGATCTGTTCCAAGAACTCTTCTGGACTTAGACTCGGTGGCAGACGTCTCACTACAACCTGTCATGGAAACAAGGGTGGGCTACAGTGAGTGGTTGACAGTTAGGTATTTTGGGCACTTGTCCTTTGGGCATGTGCTCTCCCAAACTTACTTCCCCAGAAAGAATAATTGAGTAGAATCAATTGCCCTCTGACCAAATAAAATCGAATAACCATGGAATAAATATCACTACTGTAAAACGTGTGTGTGTGTGTGCGTGTTTAAGGTCATTAAGATCTACTATAATTCATTATCAAGCAAATTCTGTGTGAAAGAAAGCACTGATTGACTATTTCACTGATTTGATGATGGCAGTGTACCTTAGTTGGCGCATTTTCCTTTTCTCTCTTCTCTCGCCTTTTCAAATCATTATTTCTGTCAGCTGTCGGTCTTAATGTTTTCTGACGCAACTCTGATTTCTGTTCTTTTTTGTCTTGTGCCATAGCTTATCTTTGGGGTACAACAGCCATACAGAGTCTTAGGACGCTAATTCCATGTTTACACAGTAAAACTCACGACCTCAAATACTAAAAACACGAAAGAGTGAAGAGCGTCGTTTTCAGAAGCTCAGTTAGCTGCGCGACTGCTTGGAAAATAGAACGCATTAAAATTTTCAATAAAACTATTTCTAATGAAAGAAATAAAAATAAAAAATATAATTTTCGATATGATTGCAATCACGAATCAAAGTATCTTTAAAATGTAACATTATTAACAAGCAGTATATTTACCGCGAAGCTACTATTTGACTGAAGATAACCGAAAGGGATTCTTAAAACTTTTAAAAATCAATTTTTAATTGTTATATGTTCATTCAAAATATAGCTATGTTTCCATGTCTGTTGTTGTAATGCACAGATATTTGTGATTTTTCTAATGTTGAAAAAATTTTTGTCAAGTTTAGGGACTAATATATTACATTATATTTCTCCAACCAATTTCCTTACGGATTTTCCTGCCTCCATTTTGTAGCGTAGTTTGTTGGCCTGTGGTCAACGGAAGGCTGTCAAGATGCAGGTTTGGTGGTATGTCATACTACCTGGGCTCGGCGTCCAATATGCAGCTTTTGTATTACTAACGCAGCTAGGTTGGGTAAAAGCTAAAGCCAGTTTTTCTGAATTCAGAAACGGGGTGAGCATTCGATTTAATTCCCCTGGCGATTGAACAAGTCGTCTTATAAAAAACTTTCATGTTGTCTTTTTCGGTAATTGTGTCACGAACGCTTTATTTCAGCTAACCAATTCTGGCAGAAATCATCCGCCATGATCTGAACTACTTGTCTAATTTATTGAGGAATGACTGGTACGGTACATTAAATGAGTCTCACTAAATTGCGCAATACAGAGTCCGGTGTCACGTGTACGGTCCGTTCTGCGTGAACCATCCGTTCTGACCGATTGTACACGCAGCAGACGCGTGAATGAGCCGTTCCGTGAATGATCCGTTCTTATTCACCTGTACTGTTATATTTGGCTAGTTCATTTCCTACCACATTATACATTTACTATGATGGGGATAAAATTCATGTGTTAATTGATAATTTTGATAGAGAATCAGTGTCAAATTACAACTCGACGCATGGATGAACCTACCGTGGACGGGCCGTCGTTATTCAGCTGCTGGCTACTATTTTAGTATTAATTTTACTAGGCTAGTGTGTTGATATGGCCACCTGAGGCAAATCGCAGTAGAGGTGAACGTCTATAAGATATGAACACTTTTAAAGATTATGTTTGAATTTGCAGTATGTTCTCAACGGTGCATGTTTATTAAAGGCTACGAATGTACTGATGACTCTATAGAGACGGGCTGTACACGCCGGAAGTCTCAGGTTTGCCTGCGCTTTGTGCGCATGAGCAGAACGGATGGTTCACGCTCCGAGTGGTACACGCCACACCGGTCGCAAGTTAACACTGGAAATGGTCATTCCCAACAAAATGGGCTGATATGAAAGTGAAATATATTACTAGTACTATATAATTAACGTCCTTGATACAATTAAACAAGTTGTTTCAGCCACCATGTTGGCTAGAGGCTCTTAATTCTCAGCCAGAAGAGTCGGTAGCCAACATGGCTGCTGGCCCGACAATATACAAGTCATGCCGTTCAGTTATATCAATGATATTTATAACCTTGTATATATTTTGCTTTTATATCACCCTATTTTGCTTGGAGCTACTGTTTTCTATGTTTCAATGCAAGTGCATTCAATTTCGAGTGTATTGTGCTGTGTTGTGCTATATAGTGCAATTCGGGGACACCTCTCTTGGGTAATGAGAGGTTCACACACTGCCCACCAGGCTTGACAGTAATTTCTCTGGATTTTCCGTATCATTTTCAGCATGGGGAGCACAGGAGATACCGCAGCTTTCACGACCATGACATATATCTCCGAGACAGGCGGCTTACTGGATCTGAATACGTCACAATAGTAAGTATCAGTAGCGTAGCACAGTCAAGGGAAACCCCTGCAAAAATATGTCTCATTTCACGCTGATTTTGGTTCTCCATCTGTCCTAGAACATGTTTTTCTCTTTTCATGAAAATTTTTCTTAATCTGTTCTAGGACATTCTGAAGGACTTTGCTAAACCACTTCTAGAACTGATACTGTTACGGTACATTCATCACAGAACAACATTAGAACTGTAAAAAAATGTACTAAATGTTCTAGAATAGCTTAAGAACCGTAAGCACCCGGCCCAATGCTTGAAGCACTTGGCAAAATAGGGCCACAACTTTGACATGATATTTAGGCAATTATCAGGTCAAATGAGCTGGTAATTGTTCCATAGTCACTCCTCACAAGTGTGTGTATATATATTTTTAGCAAACTTCCAAATTTTTTTTTTTTTTTTTTAATTTGAGCATTGTAGATCATGTAACTATTGAGGGATCATTCCCAGGCCCTATCGTTCTAACTGTGGATCCCTTTATCTTGCTAAATTGCAGTAAACTTGAGTGGCTTTATGTCTGTCATGCCCACTGAAGCTACTGAGGGGGATTTACTATCGTTTAGCAGCTTCAGTTGGCATGCCAGACATCTAAGCCACTTACTAGTAAGCTGAAATCAATTTAGCGAGAAACCCTTTGGAGATGGAGCGATGCTGTTAGATTGATCTAGGTGTGGGAAACCAATCTTAATGATGGAAAATGCTAAAAATACATTCTTGTGACCCAAATACCATGGGCTTATTATCGCACAGAAAAAGTTTGGCCCTTATAAAATCTTGGCACCCTTGGCTGAGTTTTGAAGTGTGCTTGAGACAGAGGCTTGTTGATGTCGTGTTGAGTTTCTAGTGTTCTCTAAAACTTTGGGGGGGGGGGGGGGAGGGGGCTATGAAGTGAATAGTGAATACCTCCTTGAGATTATCCCTGATTGTAGGAAAGGTAGAGTCACTCTATACACCTTCAATAGAACTCTGATTTGACCAATTTTATAACTTTTTATATGGTGAAAATCGGTTTTCACCATAGAAGCAGTTATAAAAGAGCTTATATAAAATATGATTGACATATTTTTTTCCCTCTCATTCTAGGCTTTGGCAGGCGTACCAGACAAGATGCCAAAATTTTAATGCTGCTCCCACTTCTTAAGACATTACCAGTAGAAATTATTTCAAAGCTTAGTTGGATGCCAGAGTGGACAAAGTCTTGTGGACAATAATGTAGAGCAGTTTTGATGTAATATACTGAACACAAGTGTGGACTATCTTTTAGCAAGAACACAAATTTCTCCGGTCATTTTTTAATACTGGAAAAACAGCACTCAGGAAAAAAGTGAATTCAGACTCTTCATATCTGTAAAGAGTACCTTTCCTGTGGCAGAAAGACTAATGATAGCACAGGCTTGTTTATAAGATTGATGTGAACCTTTTTGAATGGCACCAGCAGTGGATTATAGTTTGTTTTATCAAAACTGGAAGGTGACTGCATAAATTAATGGCTAAAGATTCACATAAAAGCACTTTTTTTGTTGTTTGATCTTAATCAATAAAAACAAATAATATTGTATTAATTTTGGAGGGGTTTCTGATGTGTTGGCTGGAGTTGCAAGTAAAAAATTCATGCATTGGTAAAATATATTTTATATTTAATATATATATGGACAAGTAAAAGTTCTGTGTAAGAAATAATTTCTGCACGTTTCTCTCTGTGAGATATTTAATTCAACAAAAAAGCAATACCAAAACATTGAACCCTGCAGAAAAAAAAGGCAACAAAAATTCTATTGTAAATACAAGGAGACCTGGATTCACAGCTTTCGCTCTGCTAAACCACTAACCCGAATAATTTGTAAAGAGCTTACAAGTAGAGATGCCCCAGTTTGACAGCCAACAAACAAATTGTCCTCAATGATTCCTTACCCTTCTTTGTTGGCATAGGTTATAAAATTGTGTAAAACTGCAAAGGAACAAATAACCTCTCAAATTTCTTACAACATTTATTCATTCTCTAGCAGTTAATTACAATCGTATAATACAATAAATGATATACACATTTGGCAGCTGGAGCCAGAAGAGGTAAAGGTAATGAACTTTGCAAAGTGGATAATGTGCTTGATGTGATTGACAGTTCAAAAGAAAAAATCTCAACATTGCCACAGTTGTCAGTGTTCCTTCCTTAGGCTTAGGACACAATGTTGTAGCTATGGTTGGGTCTCAAAGGTTTATATTTCAAATAATAAATAATTAATTTAATTTGAAAAAAAAAAAAAAACATTATCCAGCTTGACTTTATAAGTCATCTTGGAGACCTATTGCTCAGTTATGAACATGCCAACTGACCATTAGGGTAAAGTGTTAACAGGAAAAGAAAGAAATTTATGGACTGAAGCATAAGAACTGCATAATATTATCTTACAGATAAGAAACATCATGAGAAACTTAACTCATCATCTCGGTGACGAACTCAAAAAATGACTGATATTTTGTGCAATTACTGGATATATGGATAGTTTTCTTATGCCACTGAGTGAAAGCAGCAGCAACCGAAGGAAAATGTATCAAGAAGTTCACCCCTGCTTGCAGCTGGTATTTGAATGTGATTCTGTCCTGCATCATTAATTTCTTGCATACAAAATCACAAGAACATGATGTTAACTTGGTCTGATAAAGCTGCAATTCCTCTGATAAATATCATTATATTATTATCAATCACTTAGTAGAAAGAAAACTGTTGAAAAGAAAAAAAAAACACTAGAAAAATGGTGTGCCATCTCAATCAAGAACTCCAAAAATTTCTAGAGCCATAATTTGCACAATGGATTTGATAATTAACAAGTCTTAAAGACATGGGTGTTATTTGTCCCAAGTAAACCAAAGAGGAGAAAGATGACATCTAAACAATAAAACTTAAAGGGAAGTTCCAGTATCTCTGGTTTTCATTTTTTTTAAAGCTTGGTATGTTTGTATTTATTGTAAAAGGATTATCCCTGTTAAATTTAACTCATTATCATGATGTTTCCTTATTAACTTACATTCCATACGTCAATTACGGATATACAGGGCTCCATGCTTTTTTCCCTCAATATTATATATTTGGCAGGAACTCTATCAATGTGCTTCCATTCTAGTGATAAAAAATGAAACATCAGAATTAAGAATTGGCTCCTTTCATACAAATCTATACTGCGCCTGAGCTTTGTACACTGATGTTTGCCTCAATCTATAACCATGACACTGTCATCTGCATCATGCAATCTACAAAATAATGAGAAGTTATCAGAATCAAGTAGAGGCTCTTCTTTCTCATATTAGTCAGTCTCCTTCATCAAATGAATGACTCAGTTTGCACTGTCATCGGTGTCCAGTATTATCTTTTTTCCTGTATTTCACTGCCTGTTAGAAGAAATAAACACAAGTCCGTCTAAGTACTGCAGGTTTATGCAGAAGTTATCAAAGTTATCTGAAGTAGGAACAGTATGCTTTTCCTTTTGTATTTCTTTTTTTTTTTTATCTTTTGTAGCTTTCTTTGCAAAATAAACAGCATCTTTTCCACAAACTGCAGGTTTATCCAAAACTGACAGAAAACCATCTGAATGGAGAATCATCCTCGTTCCTTTCTTATATTTTCCGCAGCCTCCCTTGTGGTGAAAAAACAACCGCATTCTGTCTGCATAATAGATCCAAAATGGCAGAAAATCCAGAAGGCGAATAAAATGATCTCACTGGAGACATAAACAACATTCTTCCCTCAGGCTAAGATTTATCCCAAACTGACAGAAAATGATCAGAAAAATAATCATCGACCAACATTTGGCCAGCTTTCTGTAGATTTATGCTACTTGGTGATACTGCAGGTCATCTTTACGCTACGTAATGTCATCGTTACGCTACGTAATGATACTGATTAGGGTTGTCTTTGTCTCGCATCATGTAGTCTCTGTCTATAAGGCTTTCAATTCTTTTCTTCAAATCTGAGGGCTGAAAAACAAAAGAGGTTTTGTCTCGTTTCTAGGTTATAGTTGTTAAATGATTGGTAAATTGATAAATAAATCTTGTTGACTTTGAATGAAATTGATTCATAAATACCAGAAAACACCATTTTACAGTGAAACTTGAAAACTGTTACAATCATGATTTCATGGTTATGAAAATTCATGTTGGGCAAATGTCAGAATGTATAAACAGTAGAGAACGTATCTCAAGAAATTTCATTTTTTGTGCGCGTGTCTAAGAGCAATGTTGTTCAATAGGTTTCCCCTGACAGGAAACTTCCTTAAATTTCTTTAACCCATAGCTGATCAGTGCAGGGTAACAGTGTTACAGGGAATTTCCTAAATTTTTTCAATCAATGTTCTATCAACAGACTTTTACAGGAAATTTTCTTTTTTCTTAAACTCAGTGCTGTTCATAACAATGAGCATTTCCTAAATTTTTTTAACCCAGTGTAATTTAATAAACTTACCTTAACAGGAAACTTCAACTGGTTATACAGCTCTGTAATCAACAGATTGTGACTAAGCAGCTTTCTTGTTTTCATAATTCGTACGATGGCGGCGTCTACCTGGTACTGGCGATCTTGGAACACGCGCTCTGTCGTGCTGACATTTTCCTCTTGCTTGAGGGAGAGAAAGAGAAAAATTGATAAAACATACTAATCATATGTTCCATTTGAATATTAGAAAAACTAAAAAGAAATATATGTTACTAAATAAATAAATAATAAAACAAATAAATAATCATCCAGGGGCCCTTTAATTCTTTTCAGTCAACAGAGAATAATTTCGTCTTACAAAATTATGTAATTTATAAGGTAGTTTTAACTTCAAAATGTTAATAAAGCCTGGATATTAAGTGATACTTCTTTTTGCCACAAAAACTTTTTTTCTGTGCCACAATTTTCCGCACAGTCCAAATAAACTTATATCAAATTTATTTAATGCTAAAAGTGAGTTCACTGTAAGTCAAACCAGTGCAAGAACAGTTTTTACATTTCAAAGAGAAAAGCTGTCATAATGGAGCATGAACTCCTTTACTTTCTCCCCATTCCCTTTTCCCATCCCATCTTTCATGGGTAATTGCACAAGCGCACACTCACTGCTTTTGTGCACGGGGCTTAATTTGTTATTTGAGTACTGCCACTGAAAAGATGGCAGCCCAGGCTTAGTGTACACAAACACTTTCACAGTAAATGACTTTCAAAGCTTTATTATTACTACAGTTTAACCACTATTAACAAGGCCCTGGCTCTTTCTATTGGGAGACTGTATGCTGCGCGCTATCATATTACTCAATCTGACATTATTATTTGCTCCCAATTATGCAGACATCATTGGTAGACAGAATCAGAGTGTGGATTTGAATCATAATGTAGATCCAACGAATGAAAGTGTCACTTGATTCTAGTTCATTTTAGAAGAGAAGTCTTCATAACTATCCCACCAGCTGAGCCAGCAAAGAGGACTGACGCAGGAGGAAAATATAATAGAGTAAAACACGCCTAAACATCTTGACGAAGTGCAGGTAAATCCCAAGACCCATATCATATTTTATAGAACAAAGTAACACACCAACAGTTGGAGTTATCTTTCATTTATCATAAATCTGTGCACAGACACAAAAAAAAAAAAGCATAAAATTAGTTTCAAATTTCCATCCCTTCACGGAAAATAACAAACATTCAAAACTAAACTGAAAAGGACAAAAATCCCAACTCAAAAGTCATCTTAATAGGAGGAGACAACATGCAGTGTACAATGCAGACATTCCTGACGTAGAGAGAAAAAAGGAAAAAAAAAACTTGCACCAATCATATCAAGAAGAAATCTTATGTGTACCCCACCAGTGGCAGCATGTCTCTGAGCAAGGAACTGGGCCACACCATAAAGGAGGAGTTACTGGTCTGCAAGATCTGCCTGGAGAACTTAACCAACCCCAAATCCCTGCCATGCCTCCACACCTTCTGTGAGGCCTGTATTGGATATTACATGGAACGCCACCGCTCCACCGACCATCGCAAATTCTCCTGCCCGATCTGCCGACGCCAGGTGTTCGTCCCCAAGAACGGCGTGGAAGGGATTCCTGACTGTTTCTTCGTGACAAGCCTGTCGGATATCATAGCGCAAACAACCATGGAGAACATATGTCGTATTTGTAAGCTCCAGCAAGTGACTAAGAAGGCGGAGAAGGTGTGTGTGGAGTGCTGTATCAGTTTGTGTGCCGACTGCACTACTCTCCACCAGGGGACGCCTCTGATGAAGGACCACACTTTCTTACCAGTGCTTGCAGAAGGTAATTATTAGTACAAGATGTAAAATTTTCTCTCTCGAGTGAGAGCACAGTAACTGCTATCTAACAAAGTGTTGGATTTTGTGATGGTAATTGTAACAAGCTGTGAGAGATACTGTAACAGGCTGTAGAACTATAACAGAAATTGTTATAACAGTACTGTTGTTGAGCAAGCAGTTACTGAAAATTTGCTTTGTAAATGGGAAAGTTTTCTTCAACAAATCTTTCACTACTTTAAGCCATACTATTCTCCTTAAAAAAAAAAAAATGCATGCTTACATAGTTTTTTTTTTCTCTCCAGATGGCACAGCCCAAAGCAACAAACAAAACTTCTGTAAGAACCATCACGGAGAACAAGTGAAGTATTACTGTGAGCCCTGTAACCAGTGTATCTGTGTGGCCTGTACCTTACTGGACCATCGCGGCCACACCCTGGGAGAGATCAAACAGGTCCTCCAGACCTCCACCCACGACATAAAATCTCTCCTCTCCATCTCCCAAGACACCATCACCACCCTGATTACGACGAAGTCCGAGCTGGCCGACGTCCAGTCAGAGCTGACCGACTGCATGGAACAGGTGAAGACTGACATCAGGCGCTCAGTGCAGTCCATCATTCAGGCCATCAATGAGCAAGAGACACAGCTGCTTCGAGAGCTGGACGAGGTGTACAACACCACGGTGACGTCCCGAGACCACCTGAGGGTTGTCCGCGCTATCGAGAAGCTGCAACTGGCCCATGATTATGCGACCAATATGCTGGCCAAAGAGACGTCACCGCTGATGCTGCTCCAGAATAAAAAAGATGCTAAAAATGGCCTGGAGATGGCGCTGAAGTTTGAGGCGCCTGATATTAGGCAGCATATCTCAAAGTTGGAACATCGCACTCACTTTATACCAGGGAGGTAGGTACAGGCCGCATCAAGCACAGTTTGTACAGAAAATATTTTAAAACCAAAACTTTCAAGACAATGTTTTTTTTTTTTTTTTTGGCCAGAAAAGGCATTCTTTCAAAAGTTTCACTTCACGAACCCAGTTCAGTCATTCTTTTTCCAAAAAAAAAAAACATTTTAACTCCAATAAGAAGACACTTTGATTGCACAACTGTTTATTATCTATTGTGAGAAAAAAAATTATTGTATACCTTTTATCTGTGCCAAACGTCAGTGTTTTAACATTTTAGATATTATTATTATTATTGTCATTTAATATTATTATTATCATCAACAGGTTTAATATCAACCTTGGTCACCTAATGTTCTGTACAGTACAAGAAGACCAAGCAGTACAAGACTTAACCTTCCAAACCCACCCCACACCCACAGCAACCTATAGTTCTACTCTATGTGACACCCACGGGGAACCCTTCACTATAGCACCCACAGGAGAAACCAACAAGCCTTTTGCCAAGGTGGGGCATGTGGCCATACTGCCCAATGGTCAAGTGGCCATCTTGACCTCTCTGGACATATACAGGTAATATGTGGAGATGTGTGAAGGAGGAGCAATTATTAGAATTATAATAAAAATTAAAACTAGATTTAAGTTGAATCATTTTGACAAATACACATACATACATTGACAAATGCAAATACAATGACAAATGCTCCACCTATGAAATCTTTGGTCTTAAGATCTTTTACTAAACGCTTCTCTGGTCGTCCAACTAAAGCACCCTTAAACATTTTTTACCACAATTTCAGGGTTCATGTGTTTGATGAGCAGGGGGTCCTCTCCCACCAGTTTGGCTCCGACAGAGACCTTCCCAACCCCACGGACATCTGCGTGACCCCCCTGGGGCAGCTGGCCCTCACAGAGATGCACAGTAAGAGGGTCAAGGTCTTCACCCCCCAGGGGGAGCTGGTGTACGAGTTTGGGGGTCAGGAAAGATGCCCCTTCGAGTTCCTGGCGGCCATAGCATGTAGTGACCAGGGACAGTTCTATGTGTTTGATATGTATGGGGTGCATCTTAGCATCCACTCAACGCAGGTAGGGGATGACGTTTAGATCGTTAAAGTAATCATTCACAAAATGCAAACAATACTGTTCTAGAAAAACTGACCTTATCATAAGAAAAGAAAATTACAATTATCAGGAGACTGGAATTCAGTTAAAATTGCTGTCCCTTCTATACCTCCTGATGCACTGCCTATACTTAACACTCCATCTAAATTAATGAAGTTCAGTTTCAGGTAACAAACCGCAAAGAAACAATAAAAAATCAATAATGTTAAAAATACTCCACTTTCCCTGGTACAGCATATTTACATATCTCCCTTTGATCCCCAGGGTGATATTTTGGCCGTCACTACCCTGGAGGACAGTGTACCCCGCAGTCTAGCCAGCTGGTACCCACTACTGTTTACTACCTCAGAGAACCAAATAGCCATCTACAGGTAGGTTCTCTTTGGAGATTTCCCAAATACATCTTTGCTTGTTATTATTAAATACTTTTGTGATACTTTCTTATTTAACTACTATAATTCTGTCATTATCTTTCATTCAGCGCTGTATAGCAATAGATGGGTCTGCTTCACATATTATTTTCAAGTAAACAAAATTGTAATAGTTCGTTATTTTATTTCATTTTTTTTATATTCATATTAACATTTGCTTAGGGAAAAACTATTTCAGTGAACTCCTTTTTAATTCCTTAATCTTATATCCTTTATTTAACTATGTTCTGAATCAGGATGAGCCAAACCAAATTGAATCAAATTATTTTCTAAAAAAGATAAAAAAAAATATTTATTTACAGAGAGAACCCAGACAAGCAGCTGCAGCACATAGCCAACTACAAACAGAATCCTGATATCCAGGTACCATTCAAAGAGTGTTCAGCCACATGCTTAGACTCCCAGGGTAATCTCTACATCATGGACAACCTGGACAATAAACTGTACAAGATCAGTCTAAAGGGAGAGGTGTACAGCATAGACCCCACTGGTGGTGAGGGGTTCACACAAGTGATCAGCATGGCAGTTGACAGAGACAATGCGTTTGTTGTGATTCAAACACAATCACAATCTCACCCAGCACAACCTGCTGTGTATAGAGTGTGCACTTACAAGCTTGGATGAAGGACAATAAAGGTGCAGACAATGGACCTGAAGTCCAAGGAATCTGTGGATTTGTCATAAAAAGATTTAGACACGAGGGGGGAAATCCTGAGAGCATACCATAATACTGACCTACTTATATGCTAAGAGTGCATTAAAATATACAGATAACACTCGTAAAACAATTTAATCAAGAGCCAGTTTCAAAAGTTTGACTTCAAACAGAAAAAAAAAAGATTATAATAAAGTAAACTCTGCGCTTAATTTTCCAATAAATACTCACAGTTTCTTTCATCTGTATCTGGTTGATCTTGATTCTGAAGAGTTTGTGTTTGAATTCGTTGTTAAACTTAAACTTATCTCCAGCATCCACATCTTTGCTCTGCAAACAAGAGCCAAAAAGTGCAGTCATTAATACTCTCAAATTTGCAGAAAATCTAGACACAAATTCAAGTTATACATAAAAATGAATAAGCCCATGAAAAAAATCATGATATCTCAACATAGACAATTCACACTGACAAAAACAACTCGAACATAGGAGAAATATGTCAGACAGGGCAGAAAACCCAAAATACACCTCCTGGGGTGGAGAGAGAGGGGGGGGTCCCTGTAGGTCCTGTTACACAGCCCATAAACAGCTTCTTAAAATACTCCAAAAACTGCCCCTTTAAGTTGAAACCCTCCATCTTACCTTAGGACTCTTAATCAGCACTCTGGCCCGCCCACACGCCAGAGACTGAAGGGTTCTCTTCAGTTCACCATCCTCTGCAAAGTTATAAATTATAAATTACATATAAAAATATATATCAGTGATGATTGTACAATGAAATGAGAAGTAGAAATGTTTTTTTTTAAATAAATAATAAATCATAAACATAATTACCATCTTTTTGAGTGTAATATCAGCATAAATAATAATTGTGATTTTTATTAGTTTTTATTATTTCATTATAAAATCTTATTTATGAGTTTTTATTATTTCATTATAAATTCTTATGCAGTTATTTTCCAGACATAAACAAGATGATGAAAGACAATCAAAGTCCATTTCTTAGATTTAGTCCAAAAATAGTTCAGAAATAACTACAATCCGTCCCATCTCACCTATTGCTGTTGCCTGTTTTATTTCCTCAAATGAGAAGACATGTCCTTCATTAAACATCAACAGACAAAGGGTTTGGAACAGGGACACCTGGAGTTCTTTATCTCCCTGAAAACAGAATTTAAGTTTTATAAATAAAAAAATCTTTGAAATTTTTGGAATTGCATATAATAAAAAAAATTAATTAATAATGTTTGTACTTGTTCCCACCCCCTTTTAAATACGTTGCATACAATCATGCATTCACCAGCATAGATGCAAAGATGCGCACGCACGCACACACACCTGCACCACCCGCACACACACACACACTCACCCCAGCAAAGGTTGCCCGTAGCACACAGTGTCCCAGCGTAGACTGCCACTGTAGTTTCCTACCGCTGTGTTTACCCAGGTAGAACTTGGTGAAGATTTCCTGATACTTCACCATCTGGAATATGGGAGTAGGAACAAACCTCAGGAATAATAATTGGCCAAAGGTATACAAAATATTAGCATTAACACCCCCAGATGACATGTTCCTCAAAAACATTTAAAAATGGAATCAATAACCTGAATTTTGATCATGACATCACAGAAAGCAACCTATGGACTATTTTGTATATTGCCAACTTCTGCAGCTGAAGTATACAAATATACATCACAGGAATCTACTGACAATTTTAAAAAGGCACATTCAGACACGACGTGTCCGATTCTTTCTTTCTCCACACCGGTCCAGCATACCTGTATATTAACCAGTATGTTAATACCATATATATATATATATATAAGAAGCCTTAAGGATTTACCTCAGTGGGCAGATGGACCTCCATGGGGGTATAGGTGGGCCAATACCCCATAGTGAGGATGTTCACATTCAGATCAATACTCCCTGGCACATCTAGATTACTGGTATGCTAGAAAATATATAAATTATCAATATACGTCAACATCAAGTAGACAATGACAATGGATACAAATTATTATATAAATATATGTCAAATAGACAGTGACAATTTTTATGGGTTTATTTGATTGATAGAAACATGGTCTGAGAATTAGATCTTTGTCATTGTGGATATTTTATTACCTTTAAATTCTACAATCCAAAGTGTACAAGCTGCTTATTATTATTATTATTATTATTATTAAATTACCTGTCTAAAAGCCAGCATAATGTCATTGGACAACTCCATGTCCTTGAACATTATTATTATTATTATTATTATTATTATTATTATTATTATTATTATTATTACCTGTCTAAAAGCCAGCATGATGTCTTTGGACAACTCCATGTCCTTCAACATTATTATTATTATTATTATTATTATTATTATTATTATTATTACCTGTCTAAAAGCCAGCATGATGTCTTTGGACAACTCCATGTCCTTGAACATGCCCTCCAATTTACTGGTGAAGCCACCTCCACATTCTGAAATAAATTGTCACTGTTTTTATAAGGCAGCACAAATCTATGATCAACCATATAAATATTTCATAAACTTAAAGTATTCAATTCTAGTGATGGTAATGTTGATAATAATAGCAATAATATATTTTTTTTCAATTCTTTTTTCCTTCAATTAGGGGAAAACCTGACAAAAAAAGTCCTTTCTGCCAAATAAAGACCTAAACATATGCTTTAAATTGGTCACAACCGACAATAACAAAACTCTCAAGCCTTCATTACCCTGCTTTAACTTCGACAGCATAGATTTCTCTGCATCTACAGACGCAGACTTCCCAACTAACAGTCTCTTGGCCAAGTCTTTCTTGTAGAAGGCCTCAAAGACATCCTTGCCATGGATAAATCTAAACAGCACCATGATCTTGTCAAGCAATCTCTCTAGCTCCTCCTCCGTCGCTTCCTTGTTGCCAGCGCGCAGCTTAGAGTCCACATACTTGGCTGAAAAGAAGAAACGAAGTGCTCAGTAATAAACAAGGGACTGATTATTCACAGCTCACAGCTTAAAGTCTACATACTTCACTGACAAAAGAAATGAAGAGCTCTGTAATAAAGAAGGGATTTGTTACATAACGAATGTTACACAGCTTAGAGTCCACATACTTGACTGACAAGAAGAAACAAAGTTCTTGGTTTGAAAGAAAGGAGTTATTATTCAAAAGTGATGGGAAATGTTTTGAAGTCATTATTATTATTTGAATTTCTATATCAAGCTAATAGCATTTTTAATGTAATAATAAGATAATTTTACCAATACGTACTGATGCATTTTAAATGCTACTTTTTTAACTCTCATCGTATACCATATCACTGTAACCAACAGATATCTTTTTTAATCATACAGTAAGATCATGTCACTGACGCAATTTGGTGTCCTTTTTTTCCAGTTTAACATCTCACCTATAAATTCTGCCGGCTTATTCTGCCTTTGGTTAATAAATGTCTCAAAGGCCTCCTTCACAGCGTTCACAAATTTTTCATTCTTGGCAAAGCAGACAGCAACTATATTGTCTATTCTGTCCTTGAAATCTGAAAATCCATATTTTTTGTAATATTTTTTGTAATATTTTTTGTGAGGCACTGAAATATCGGAGTGCTAGTAACACCCTGTATAGCATAGCCAGCCGTTGCTTGAAAGTAATTATTGTAATAATTGTAATTTTGAGTCCTTAACACAACTGACAAAATACTTTGCTAAATCATTTTTTCTACCTGTAATGCATATATTTATAATGATTTCATAATCTATAAAAATTTCAAACTGTAAGTTAAAATACCTGCCTGGCACAAGCTATATCTTTTAATATCTTATTACTTTTATCAAAGGTAAAGTTAAGTGAATCCTTTACCCAGCAAACTCTGTACCATGTCTCTGTCCTTATCTGGATCATTGTCTGGGTTTATGACGATCATTTTCCCAGATTTCTGAAAATACACAGAAGGTACTTATTGCCAGTAGTAGTAGAAGCAGCGTCCAATATATTTTAGAATATAAGGTGCAACTTGGGGCATTCTGTAGTAAGTTTTGCGTGCCTATAAAAAACTGGTCTTTAATAGCACGTTATAAATTTTAACTTCCAATTACCAATTTAAACAGAATATGAGTGAATGAAAAAATTAATGAACATATGACATGATCATACACCATTACCTTAATATATGATGCACATGCCACGTAGAGTTCTTTGAGGCCGTCTTTCACTCGGCTAAATAACTGGTACATGAGCGTCAAGTCTTGGATTCTGTTTTGCTCCAGTAACATGTCAAGTCCTAGAGGAAGATATCATTGACTCACACTTTAGGTTTTTGTGTTCAGTCTAATATCATTCAGTGTTAAAACTTACCTCCAGAGTCTAAAAATTTTACTGACCCCCATATAAATGTGTTAAAAAGCAATGAGACAAAAGAAGTGGAAATTCAGTCTACTTTGAACCTCAGACATTCACCTTTCTGAAAATGGACATTTCAAGGAACCACAATAAAATTAATAACTAAGTCAATGGTTTATTTGGCCTACAACAAAATATATTACATTTTACTTAGCCAAATAAGAATATGATAAATATTTGACAAAAATATACTGATACATTAAGACTAAGCCCAGAACGGTGATATTTTATTGTTTTTGTTCCTGTACCTACCTTTTTGTAGTATTGCAGTTAAGTGGTGCTCCAAGAGATTTTTCTCCACACAAGTAACCAGAGATTTCCTGAAATAACACATCACATCAAAAATTATTATTACTATAATTTCTCTCTCTCTCTCTCTCTCTCTCTCTCTCTCTCTCTCTCCACACCCTTCTGTCTTCAACTGCAAGTTGTAAAAAATAAGAATTCCCATGTCACATTCTACAGTGTTGAGACAAAGTGTAACCTTTTCAAAAAATAAAACATCCTTTTTTTGCACTTTCATTATTGCCATTGTTCAATCCAATCCATATCCCTACTGTTACATACATTTGTGTTATGACAGGGTACAATTTCAAGAAAATACACATAATTAACTGACTTATATATTACATATATGCATTTACAAATTTTACAGATCTATAAACTATGTATTCATGAGTCCCTGTATGGAGAAACAGGGAGGNGGGGGACTGTATGCCACCAGCTATCATATTACTCAATCTGACATTATTATTTGCTCCCAATTATGCAGACATCATTGGTAGACAGAATCAGAGTGTGGATTTGAATCATAATGTAGATCCAACAAATGAGAGTGTCACTTGATTCCAGTTCATCTTAGAAAAGAAGTCTTTATAACTATCCCACCAGCTGAACCAGCAAAGAGGACTGACGCAGGAGGTAAATATAATGGAGTAAAACACACCTAAACATCTTGACGAAGTGCAGGTAAATCCCAAGACCCATATCATATTTTATAGAACAAAGTAACACACCAACAGTTGGAGTTATCTTTCATTTATCATAAATCTGTGCACAGACACAAAAAAAAAAAGCATAAAATTAGTTTCAAATTTCCATCCCTTCACGGAAAATAACAAACATTCAAAACTAAACTGAAAAGGACAAAAATCCCAACTCGAACGTCATCTTAATAGGAGGAGACAACATGCAGTGTACAATGCAGACATTCCTGATGTAGAGAGAAAAAAGGAAAAAAAAAAACTTGCACCAATCATATCAAGAAGAAATCTTAGGTGTACCCCACCAGTGGCAGCATGTCTCTGAGCAAGGAACTGGGCCACACCATAAAGGAGGAGTTACTGGTCTGCAAGATCTGCCTGGAGAACTTAACCAACCCCAAATCCCTGCCATGTCTCCACACCTTCTGTGAGGCCTGTATTGGATATTACATGGAACGCCACCGCTCCACCGACCATCGCAAATTCTCCTGCCCGATCTGCCGACGCCAGGTGTTTGTCCCCAAGAACGGCGTGGAGGGGTTTCCCGACTGTTTCTTCGTGACAAGCCTGTCGGATATCATAGCGCAAACAACCATGGAGAACATGTGTCGTATTTGTAAGCTGCAGCAAGTGACTAAGAAAGCAGAGAAGGTGTGTGTGGAGTGCTGTATCAGTTTGTGTGCTGACTGCGCTACTCTCCACCAGGGGACGCCTCTGATGAAGGACCACACTTTCTTACCAGTGCTTGCAGAAGGTAATTATTAGTACAAGATGTAAAATTTTCTCTCTCGAGTGAGAGTAAAGTAACTGCTATCTAACAAAGTGTTGGATTTTGTGATGGTAATTGTAACAAGCTGTGAGAGATACTGTAACAGGCTGTAGAACTATAACAGAAATTGTTATAACAGTACTGTTGTTGAGCAAGCAGTTACTGAAAATTTGCTTTGTAAATGGGAAAGTTTTCTTCAACAAATCTTTCACTACTTTAAGCCATACTATTCTCCTTAAAAAAAAATGCATGCTTACATAGTTTTTTTTTTCTCTCCAGATGGCACAGCACAAAGCAACAAACAAAACTTCTGTAAGAACCACCATGGAGAACAAGTGAAATATTACTGTGAGCCCTGTAACCAGTGTATCTGTGTGGCCTGTACCTTACTGGACCATCGCGGCCACACCCTGGGAGAGATCAAACAAGTCCTCCAGACCTCCACCCACGACATAAAATCTCTCCTCTCCATCTCCCAAGACACCATCACCACCCTGACTACGACGAAGTCGGAGCTGGCCGACGTCCAGTCTGAGCTGACCGACTGCATGGAACAGGTGAAGACTGACATCAGGCGCTCAGTGCAGTCCATCATTCAGGCCATCAATGAGCAGGAGACACAGCTGCTCCGAGAGCTGGATGAGGTGTACAACACCACGGCGACGTCCCGAGACCACCTGAGAGTTGTCCGCGCCATCGAGAAGCTGCAACTAGCCCACGACTATGCGTCCAATATGTTGGCCAAAGAGACGTCACCGCTAATGCTGCTTCAGAATAAGAAAGATGTTAAAAATGGCCTGGAGATGGCGCTGAAGTTTGAGGCGCCTGACATTAGGCAGCATATTTCCAAGTTGGAGCATCGCACTCACTTTATACCAGGGAGGTAGGTACAGGCCGCATTAAGCACAGTTAGTACAGAAAATATTTTAAAACAAACTTTCAAGACAATTTTTTTTTGGGGGGCCAGAAAAAGCATTCTTTAAAAAGTTTCACTTCACAAACCCAGTTCAATCATTCTTTTTCCAAAAAAATAACATTTTAACTCCAATAAGAAGACACTTTGATTGCACAACTGTTTATTATCTATTGTGAAAAAAAAAATTATTGTATACCTTTTATCTGTGCCAAACGTCAGTGTTTTAACATTTTTAGATATTATTATTATTATTGTCATTTAATATTATTATTATCATCAACAGGTTCAATATCAACCTTGGTCACCTGATGTTCTGTACAGTACAAGAAGACCTAGCCGTACAAGACTTAACCTTCCAAACCCACCCCACACCCACAGCAACCTATAGTTCCACTCTATGTGACACCCACGGGGAACCCTTCACTATAGCACCCACGGGAGAGACCAACAAGCCTTTTGCCAAGGTGGGGCATGTGGTCATGCTGCCTAATGGTCAAGTGGCCATCTTGACCTCTCTGCACACATACAGGTAATATGTGGAGATGTGGGAAGGTGGAGCAGTTATTATAATTTTAATTTCTAAATTAAAACTAAATTTAAGTTGAATAATTTTGACAAAGTTGACAAATGGCACACCTACTTGAAAGTATGAAAGTTTGGGTGTTGGGGTCTTTTACAAAACTGATACAGGTAACATGTGGATATGTGTGGACGAGGAGATATGATTAGAATTATAATTAAAATAAAAACAGAATTAAAGTTGAAGAATTTTGGCAGAGTTGAAAAATATTATACCTTAGAAATTTTGGTCTTAGAATCTTTTACAAAACATGTCTCTGGTGGTCCAACTAAAGCACCCTAAACCATCTTCCATCACAATTTCAGGGTTCACATATTTGACGAGCAGGGGGTCCTTTCCCACCAGTTTGGCTCCGACAGAGACCTTCCCAATCCCACGGACATGTGCATGACCCCCCAGGGGCAGCTGGCCCTCACAGAGATGCACAGTAAGAGGGTCAAGGTGTACACACCCCAGGGGGAGCTGGTGTATGAGTTCGGGGGTCAGGACAGGTGCCCCTTCGAGTTCCTGGTGGCCATTGCATGTAGTGACCAGGGGCAGTTCTATGTGTTTGATATGTATGGGGTGCATCTCAGCATCCACTCACCACAGGTAAGGGATGGTGTTTAGTTCCTCAATGTAATTCTTCACACAATGCAAACAATACTCAATTTCAGCAAAAGGCAATCAAATTTTAATTATCAGGAGGCTGGGATTCAGTTGAAATTGTTACCAGTTTAATACCTCCTGATGCACTTGGTGGTATTTGCAGTGACCACCCTGAGTCATAGTAACAAATTACACTTCTGTATCTGCCCTTGATCCCCAGGGTGATGTCCTAGCAGTGCTGCATATTTACATATCTCCCCTTGATTCCCAGGGTGATATTTTGTCAGTGACCTCCCTATGTATA